TTTTTGCAGTGTACCACTGAAATTTATGTGTAGGAGTTTTGATGTGCCTTTCTATTCTTTTTTCTTTTATTCTGCCTTATTGCACTGCCTTATTATAATATTGAACATGAGCAGTGACAGTGGATTTTTTTTTTACTTTTTCCTGATCTTAGAGGAAAATAAATCACTTTTTCACATTAAGTATGATGTTGTTGGGTATGGTGGTGCATGACTTTAATCTCAGCACTTGGGAGGTGGAGGCAGGCAGATCTCTGTCAGTTCAAGGCCAACCTGGTATACAAGTGAGTTGCAGGCCAGCTGGGGCGACAGGAAGACCCTGTCTCAAAAAGACTCCCCCCCAGAAGAATGATGCTATCATTTTTATGTAGTCTTCAGCTATACTCATGGACTCATGTAGAGATATTGTATGCATAATTTTTCAGTAGGTTTTTATCTTTACTCTTTCTCTCCCTGTCTTATCCTCCCTCCTTTCTCTCCCCATTTAAAGTGCACTTGTTTTCCCCATTTCTCCCTTGATAATTTCTGTCTGCTATTTTTACATTCTCTTCATCTGTTCTGTTTTGCTGAATGGATGCTGAATTTTGTCCTTTCTGCATCAGCGAACATATGATCATGTGGTTTATCTTCTTTAGGCAGTTAACACGGTAGATTGTATTGCTTGATTTCTTCATGTTGAATAAGCTTTTCAACCCAGGACAAACGCCACTTGGTCATGGTATATACTTATTTTTATTTATTCCTAGATGAAATTTGTTGGATTTTGGTTGTTGTATGTTCACAAGAGTTATTGCCTGTAACTTTCTTCAACTGCCCATTTGATATTGTTATCAGGGCAATGCTCAAAGTAAGAAGTGTTCACTCTTACACTTTCTAGAAGATATTGTGTCCTGTCAGTGTTGTTTCTTCATCTTGAAAGCTATTTTGCTGGATATGGTTCTTTGATCATATTAAAAGTGTGTTGTGGGGGTTGGAGGGATGGCTCAGCAGTTAAGAGCACTGGCTGCTCTTTCAGAGGACCCAGGTTCGATTTCCAGCACCTAAATGGCAGCTAACAACTGTCTATAACTCCAGTTCGAGGGGCTCTGAAGCCCTCTTCCGACCTCTGTGGACATTGCACAACACAAATGCACTTACATATATTCAAGCAATACACTCATATACATAAAATAATAATAAATAAAATATTTAAAAAGAAGTGTGTTGTGTTTCTTTATGCACTGCTCAGTTTCAGTTTAGTATGTGTGGCCGCTCTGAGTCAATTCTGACTCAGGTCATTTTTCTATTGTGCTCATCCAGGCTCTTTAATTTTTTCCAGTTATTGTATTTTCAGACTTAAAACTTCTATTTTTATTTTATTTCTTATTTCTCTGCAGAAACTTTTAACGTTTACACGTATTTAAAGACCATTTGTGCTTATTTGTTGGAACATTTTGTTTGGCCTTTTTGAGACAGAATCTTCCTGTCACCCCAGCTGATCTGGCACTTGCTATGTAGACCAGGCTGGCCTTGATCTCACAGAGATCTGTCTGCTTCTGCCTCCGTAGTGCTGGAACTAAAGGTGTGTGCCACCATACCTGGCTCATGGAACATTTAAGAAATATTTTATTTATTATTTTTAATTCTATGTGTACTAGTGTATTGCCTGCATGTATGTAAGTGCTCCCATGTCCTGTGATACCCACAGAGATCAGAATAGAGCATCGGATACACTGGAACTGGAAATTACGGGTGGTTGTTAGCTGCCACGTGAGTGCCAGGATACGAACCCAGGTCCTCTGCAAGAGCAGCCAGTCCTCTTAACTGCTGAGACATCTCTCCAGCCCCTCATGGAGCAAATTTTATAATAGCTTTTTCAGCTTTTTAAAAAGTAATTCCACATACTTGTCATCTTAGCATTGGTACCTACTAATTACCCTTTCCCATTTGAGTTGGGAGTTTCATGGTTTTTTTAGGTGCTGAATAATTTGGCTTTATATCCTGGGACATTTAAATTTTTTATGTTATAAGACCTTGTTTCCTATGTAGGAATGCTTACATTTTTGTTTTAGCCTGTAATCAACATGATTGGGTTTAGATCATAAGTCATGACCTGTATTTTGTGGATTGTCCTACCAAAGCTAATTCCGTCTTCAAAACCTATGCAGTGTTATTTAGTTTTGTCTTGTATTTTGTTTTCTTTCTTTCTTTCTTTCTTTCTTTCTTTCTTTCTTTCTTTCTTTCTTTCTTTCTTTCTTTCTTTTCTTCCTTCCTTCCTTCCTTCCTTTCTCTTTCTCTCTCTTTCTCTCTTTCTTTCTTTCTTTGGTCTTTTTGAGACAGGGTCTCCCAGTAGCCCCAGCTGGCCTAGAACTCACCATGTAGACAAGGCTGCCTTGAACTCACAGAGCTCTACCTGCCTCTGCCTCCCGAGTGCTGGGATTAAAAGCATGCACCACCATGCCCAGTGTTGGTTAGTTTCTTGAGTCATGGTTTCAGTGTGTAGCCCAGGCTAGTCTTAAACTCAGTATCCTCTTGCCTCAGTCTCCTGAATACTGGGATTACAAGCATATTTTATCCTGTAGCTTGTCCAGAACCTGGCAGTTTCTTAATGATCATAGTCTTCGATATGTTGTTTAGGATCAGATACATGTTCAGGTTGGAGTGAACCTAGTAATTCATAAACAACTTTTCCTTCCCTGAGCTTCTTCCTCTCCACAGTTTCCCTGATAACTTGCTGTTTCTTGGAGGACTTTTATTGATTTACTGGAGAGAAAACTGGGTCTTCATTTACTCCTCTGTGAACTTTTTGCAACTTTGCCCATGTTTGGGACTAAGCAGTAGGAGGAGGAGGAGAGAGGGAGAGAGGGAGAGAGGGAGAGAGGGAGGGAGAGAGAGAGAGAGAGAGAGAGAGAGAGAGAGAGAGAGAGAGAATAAAAGAGAGGTGAAAGAGATTTATATTTGAGAATGAATGAATGAATGGGTGTTTGCTTCCACTTTCTTAGGACCAGAGTCACTTTAACCAGAGAGGAAGAGTTGTCTAACTCTTGGCAGTTAGAGTATTTCAGGGCACTGCTTCCTGCATTGTCACCGATGTAGCTGCCATCATAAGTAGTGTGTTACTTTTTGGCTAAGGTGTGAGAGAATGAAGAAAAGAAACAAAATTAAATGGTAGTTCTCCTACCTTCTTTGAATGTTAGGAGACCTAGTTCTTGCTCTTTCTAGTGTTCGCTCTGTCCATGAGGATGCCTCCTTTCTGGGTTGTCTTGAGTCCAGTTTAGTGAAGATTGGAAGAAAAAAATTTGGTGAACTCACTGCTAACTCTGTATTGCTTCAAATTCTGGTGTCTTTCATGAATTTATGTGTCAAGAGGTTTTTTTTTTTTTAAGACTCCTTAAACAGTTGCTTTATGCATTCTGTTTTGGGCTCGGGGTCTTGCTATGCTGCCCAGGCTGGCCTTGAACTCCCAGACTTATTCATTTCTCCTACCTCAGCCTCTTGAGTAGCTGGGGTTATAGGTGTGTGCCACCATGCCTGACAAGAATGGGCTGAATGTGATTAATTTGTGTTCATTGGAATCAGAACTTCTGGGTTGAATAAGTTAGCTTGCATTATAAATATGTATAGGCAATAGAGTGTTTTCTTTGGTGTATATCTATTCAGTCAAGTGCCTTTTCACACTCTTCCTGAGGCAACTACTTTATACAATAACTAGTCTTCTGATTGTCCACGACTGTGGAAGGAATCATCTTTAAACAGTACTGTCATTTAAAATGGCATCAATCATTCCATTATCTCACAGTTTCAGGCATTGAATAGGCTCATCTAGGTAGTTCTTGTTTGGTGTTTCCCCTGTATTTTTGGAAGCTTAGGGAAAGATCCTGGCTAAAATCAAACATTTTCCTGCTGTAGAGAAGGCACTAAGCAGTCTTGGCTGAATGTTCACGGAGGGACAGCTGGGAATGTTCTAAACAGCTTTTCCTATCTTCTTAACAAAGAAGTGCGCTGGGAGAGAAAGCCTCCACAGTTGGTAGGGATGTCAGAGACTGAATAAGCACTGAGTGCTCAGCACCAGCCAGGGATTGATGATGTTGACCTTTCTTTTGTTCCTTGACTAAAGGAACAAGGTGGGTTGGAATTTCTAATTCTAGGGATTTGTTCCAAGAGATTTTGTCCTCCAGAGTCCACATCGTGGTAATTATGCTCAGAGCTGGGCTTGGTCTAAAGTTCAACCAAAGACTTCCTGTTCCCTGGATGACAGGAAGTCAACATCAAAAGGGTCACCTGGGTAAACAATCCGTCACTAACCTTAGGGCAGACCATCTACTACTGTACATCTACCAGGAATGGCAAATGTTTTTAGTTTCCAATAATTCAACCCTCTTCTCCCAAGGGTTTAGTTGCACAGTCTAGATGATGGAAGTACTTATTTCATCGCCCTCCCTCATTCCCCTTACCAATCACATTGCAGACTAGAACACAATTTATTTGAACGAAACCTAGAAGATTCTGGGGAGTTCTGAGACTTGAAATATAGTCTGAGAGGTGAGGAAAACAGGTGTGTGTGTGTGTGTGTGTGTGTGTGTTGGGGGTGGGATTGGGGTGGTAACGTGGCTTGGTGACTCTTGGGAACCCGCACTTTACTGGGCCCAGGGCGACGTCCAATTCTTCGAGGTGGTGCCAGAGACAGGACTGGAGACCTTGCAGCCAGTGAATCTTAGCTGATGCTCCTGCCAGGGGCGAGCGACCTCTGCTTTTCTATTTAGGCGTCGAGGCGGTCACTGCCCATGAACTGGATGGGCGACCCCAGACGGCCTGGTCAGGTGCATCAGGACAAGAGCACAGCGAGGTGACGCAGAAGGGCCAGCCACTGGCCCATCAGAGCAGTAGGCTAGAGCGGCCCCGCTTGGGCAGCCGCCTGCCAGGAAGCTGGGCTTCTCTGGGGCCCCGAACAGGTGCGCGGGCGGGGGGCGGTGCTTGGGGAATCCTGCGCACTACGCGCGCCCCTCCCCCGCGGCTCCGGCGCAGCCCTGGCCCCGCGAGCGGCAGGCTGGAGGAGGAGCTGTGGCGGCGACAGCTACCCGGGCAGGTCGCGGCGCCTCGGGAAACAGCTGACGGCGCGGCTGCTGCGAGCTCCCGCGTGGGGCCCCAGGATCATGGAGCCTGGTGACGCGGTAAGCCCTGGCCCCGGACAGGCCCTACGGGCGCTGTTGCCGCGGCTGCTGTTGCTGCCACTGTTGCCGGTGTTGCTGGGTCGGGGGCTGCGGGCCGGGGCCGCGGCCTCTTCGTCTGGGGCGGCGGCCGAGGACAGCAGCGCCATGGAGGAGCTCGCCACCGAGAAGGAGGCAGAGGAGAGCCACCGGCAGGACAGCGTGAGCCTGCTCACCTTCATCCTGCTGCTCACCCTCACCATCCTCACCATCTGGCTCTTCAAGCACCGCCGGGTGCGCTTCCTGCATGAGACCGGGCTGGCCATGATCTATGGTGAGTTCCCCGGCAGCTCCCCGGGTCACATCCCTGATTGGGGCCGCGCTCCTCCCGGAGCCTCGGAGCCTCATAGGGCTCCCTCTTCACTTGCCAACGTGGTTTGTTTCTTTTGCATTTCCCGCTACGACGCTGTGGGCTTCCAAGGTCAACTGTCTGCATTTTCTGGCTTTCTGCTGTGGTTAAAAAACATTACACTTCGTTTCGATGTTTCTCCACCAGGAACCAAGGAGGACGAAAGACACAGAGGTGGCCCCCGGGCCCTTCCGCCCGGTTCTGTCTCTATTGCACCCCTCTCCATCAGCATTGTCCCCGTTAGCCCCAGTTCAGCTCTGCAGAGGGTACAGGGGCAGGAGTGGGTGATTTCCCAGGGAACTGCGCCACCCCAGGGAACAGGCCACACAGTAGGGGTGAGGATGGGGGCTGAAGGTAGGTCTTGGCTGGACTGACTGACCTCTTGCCATCCTGGTCAGTGCAGGTGGGTGCCCACTTCTGAGGTGTGTATTCTTATATCATTGTTAATAAAATCAGAGGAGGGACCATGGTGAAAGGTGAGTGTGTTCCAGGACCCAGAGTGACACCGCCATGCCAAGGTCTATCGAGGAAGACAGGTACCCCTCCTGCTCTTATGGCCCAGTGGGAAGTTATACCCAGTTCTTCAAGCCAAGAGTAGCTTTTGAATTCATAAAATGGTAACATGAAGCAACTTTGAAGATACATTTCTGGGTATGTGAAGTGTGAAAGTGATGAGTGGTTTTAATTCTGGAGTCACCCTCTTCTTAAGGATGGGCTAATATCTTTTCAGGATTTAATTGTACATGGTGGGTTACATAGATAGGGTCGATTCAAATCTCCTGTTATGACATGGATAATAACACAGTCACAGTCTGAGTCATCCCTCTCCCTGTACTGCCTGTCACTCTCCCTATGTCTCCAAATTAGAGCCAAGTATTCTTCTTGAATTTAATTCAGTGGTGTTAAAGCCGGCACCAGCATCCTCCAGTGAAATAGATGAGCCACTTCAGGACTGTTCCCCAAGCCAGAGCATTTTACTTCATCACTTATACTCCATTCAATATCCAGCCAGGGTTTCCTGCTAGAGAATGGAAAGCAGATACTTTAATCTTTAATGTGAAAATTACCTTTGGTCCTGGGCCTGGTGTTTCATGGTTCTTAACAGCTGGGGCTCATGGCCACCAAGCCCTTTCATACAAATTGTGTGAGAGGCGAGTACTGTCAGGAGCCTCCCAGTTTTGAAGTAGTGACCTAAACATATCTTGAATTGAAACCAGCAAATCTAAAAGCTAGTTTATTGTTGGAAATCACAGGTCCACTGGACAGACTTTGGCCTCCATATATGCCCATTCTTGGACCTCTGTAGTTTGTGTCAATTGGTGACAAATGACTGATTACCTTAGCAGGTAAGCTAAGAGGTTTCCTGAGCAGATAGTGAGTGAGAAATTGAAGCATGTTGCCATTTTAGGCGATTGACTCAGAGCCACATTGGAAATGAAGACTGCCTTTGTATATTTATACATAGCCATGAGAATATTTTTGTTTTATAGGCCTAAGAACCAGCTCCTTAAAGGACAATGTGAAATAGGAAATATATTTGATAGGCTCATAAATTCATGCTCAAGGAGATGGAAAATAAATGTGCATTTAAAAAGTATATTTTCCAAAGAGTATTCCATGTTCATAGGAATTCAGTCAACTTTACTTTGGCTTTGTCTTATTTGAGACAGGGTCTCACTCTATACCTCAGGCTTTCCTGAAACTTTACATGTAGCCCAGGTTGGCCTTGAATTTAGGGTAATCCTCTGGCTTCAGCCTCCAAGTACTAGGATTATAGGCATGACTACCACACCCAGCTTTATTCACCTTTATCTTAAGACTTAAAGCCAACAGTGGAATTTTCCTTAGCTGATATGTACTTTAAAAACTCACCTTAGTGTTTTAGTTATTGAGGTCATGTTCCAGGTACTGCTTCATTTTCTGGACAGTCCTGTTGTAAATCTCATAATATCCTGTATTTCATCCAATATCTTTTGGTCTTGGCGCTGCTTCTAATGCAGTAAGAAATTTAGTTTGTCAATATGCTGTGTCTTGAATTGTATCAAATATTTTGATGTGGGTTGTTTGTAATTGTGAGAAAAAATTTCTCTCAGGGATTTTCATCTTCTGTTTCAACCTCTTTCTCTACCCAAATCTGAATTCCAATGTTACTCGATTAGCTAATTTTTCATTATGTACTCAAGATTATTAGAGTGACAAAGCAAGACGCTTGATGTCCTCTGGCCTCTGTGCATGTACATTGGTGTATACATCCACACGTTCCTCCCTCTCAAATACAAAGAAATCTGATTTTTTTTTCTTGGTATCTTGGTAGAAGAAGTGAGTAATTGTCCTCTTGGCTCTGAGTAATAAGGGAGAGGAAAACTTGGGGAAGTACTTGGTAAGTATCTGCTCTGTGCTGGGCATGCATATTAATTTATGGAAGCTAACAATTTAACTTTAAAATGTTAGTAGTTTTGTTATGAAACTGTTTTTGCTATTTCAGCTGTGAACTTCAAAACCCTTATTTTGAAGTTTTTAAAGAAGTCTCATTTCTGCGATCTATTTTATTGGTATATATTTATTGTACTTGGTATTGGGTTTCATAAGGACATTTTCACACAAGTATGAGTTTGTAATATTCTCCCCCATCCCTCTCTATTCTGCATGTTTTCTCTCCTGTCTCCTGTTAGTCCCCTTTGTTCTTAAGCTCCTACTTTCTTTTTTTAAAATATTTTATTTATTATTTTTATTTTATGTGTATGGCTGTATTGCCTGCATGTAGGTAAGTGCACCCATGCTGTACAATGCCCACGGAGGACAGAAGAGGCTGTCAGATCCCCTGGAAGTGGAGTTATGGACAGTTGTTAGCTGCCATGTGGGTTCTTGGATTCGAACCCAGGTCTTCTGCAAGGACAGTCAGTGTTTTTAACTGCTGAGCCCTTAAGCTCCTACTTTCACGTCATATATACACACATGATTTTATGTATCCCTATGAAATCTGGGATTCACAAATGAAAGAAAATATGCATTATTTGTCGTTCTGAGTCATAGTTTACTTAATGTGATAATCTGTAGTAGTACCCATTTCCCCACAAACTACATAATTTCATTCTTCCTTATGAATGAATAAAATTCTATTGTATATGTATACCACATTTGCTTTATCCATTCCTCGTTCAATGAACACTTAGGTTGTTTTCATAACTTAGCTGTTGTGAGTAGTGATGCAGTAACCGTCAATGTGCAAGTGTGTCTGTGATGTATTTGTCGACTTGGAGTTCTTTGAGTAAATACCCTGGAGTCTTCCACCTTTTTATATTAAAGTGACACTTTAATCTGAGAAGAGTTTCTTTAGTATTAAAATGTATAAGCTGGTACAATTATAAAGTGCCTCTGAAAGGGCATGTAACAGAATAGTCACGTTGGTTTCTTTGGAGGAGAGGACCTAGGTGGCTGTGAACTTTGACTGGAGGGAGATGTCACTGTATACCCTTTTGTGCATTTTCATTTTTGAACTGTAGAAGTGGAATTATTTAACACTGTGACTGTGCCTCCTTTACATATCACTTGTGATGCATGTGTTTCTCAAATCACTCAATTTAACACCTACTTCTCTGTATTTCAATCTGGTACATCATTCCATTGTCCCCAGGGAAGAGTTGGTGTTAGGAATGTACACAAATAGATCCCATAGTAGGAAGTACTTGCTTGAGTGCAAAGGACCTAAGGACAGTAAGAGACACATTGTGAATGTATGAATAGGAGCCTGCCAGTCATAGAAGGACAGTTTGCACCATTCTTGGCCTGACAAGAGGCCAAGGCAACTACAAGGGAAAGTGGTCACAGACCTGACTTTCCAGGGTGTTTGAAAGCAGACCCCAGACCTTGCCATGTCACCTACAGACATCAAGGCAAAGCACTAGTATGGCACCAGTCTAACCTGTTTTGTTAGGCCAGGGAGCTCTCTGTATATGATTAAGTACCATCCTGAAGTTTCTGGGCCCTGCCTGTCTGCACAGCAGAAATAGCAATTGTGTGAGGCAGGGGAAGGTGGCATAAACAGACTGTCAGTTAATTGTGGTTCTCTTTCATGTTTACAGTAGTTCTGCTTCCTCCATGGTGTTTTTGTGACAACTGACACGTACCCAAAATATCTTACTATGCTATGTTAGCCTGCCACCCGACTCTCAGCTCTCCCTTCTCCATGCTTATCAGCTTTCTGAGGACTTGTTGGTCAGCTACTCTAGGTTCCATGGGTTGTGGGCTCCTTGCTAATGCTCTGTTGTTGGATTGGCCCTGGATTGCTAGTCATAGCCTGAGAATGGGCCTTATAGGCAAAGCCTGAGAGGGTAAAATATGACTCTTGCAGTAATACTAAACTTAGTGGGTCTCTATGTTAGTGAAACTTTCTTACTGCTCTTACCATATACATGAGAGAAACACCTTGAAGGAGGGAAGATTGATTTCAACTCATGGTTTCAGTCTGTCACAGTGGGGAGGGCTTTGTGGGGGCAGAGCAGCTCACATCGTGTTGTCCAGGAAGCAGAGAGACTGTGCCTGCAGCACTAGCAGTTCTTCTTCTTTCCCCCCTTTATTTCATCTAGATCCCCAGCCTATGGGATGGTGCTGCCCACTTCAGGGGTTGTCTCCCTTAGATAACCCTCTCTGGAACTACCCTCACAGACACACTCAGAGATGTGATTTAATAGTTTAGGCACTTCTCAATCCAATCATATGAACAATCAGTATTAACCACTGCATGTCTACCTATGGGTGACTGCGCTCTCTCTGGGCACAGGGTGCGCTCACTCCCTGCGGGTCCGCAGACTGCTCTGGGGAGCGGCGGCTCCGGGAGTGGCACGGGCGGATGCGCAGACTTCTTTGGGAGTGACGGCAGCTGGTGGCTGTGGTAACTTCTCCAGTGCTGGGAGCTCGCTCTGCTA